TTCACTGAGTTACGCAAGCCCCTTCGCCACGACAAGGCAGTGATCCATGAAGGGGATAGATCATTTTAATCTCTTGCAAAGTGATTGAATAATAAAGAAATCTTCATTAATTTACTCAATTTGAAGTGTTGAGAGTTACATATGTTCACACCTGTTTTGTACTCTTCCATTTGCTTTGTTGTTTTCATGCCAGTAGCCTGTCCCTCAGTGAAAGCTGTATACTCCTCTCTTCTTTTTCTCTCACGTACACATTAGAGATGTTTTTTTCTAACTCATGGCCTATACATTCCTATTTCTGTGAGACAAGTGGTACTTTCAGCGATGCATGGAATGATGTGGAACAAAGAATGTTTAGTTGTCTTGCAGAGGCTAGCACTAAGAACGTTCCTGAAATATTTCTTCTAAAAATATTCACCTAAGTCTGTTCATAGTTGTACAGAGTTTACATTGCCCATCTACAGAATAACAAAAATGCTTCATCTGATTTTAAAATCCAAAACAAACTTACTAATTTCTATTTGGTGCTTAGAATAAGGTGATATATGTTTTATTTTGTGAATACATAGTTCTAATCTGGAATATATTAAATATTATATAATATTTAATATATAATATTAAAAAAGAATATCTATACATTTCAAAGGAATCTATACAGCCAGCACTAAAGTATAATGTTATTAAATTAAGACTTCATTTTTATATCAAATATAACTGCTTGGCAATTTTCAGAAGGAATTCCTTAGACTTCAAAGATATTCTTCCATTTTTTAAATAAATGTGTTAACTTACATGTTCTTCGACAGGAAACAGAAAGACAAATTTATGATTTATCTGCTTAAATAGATAAATAATTGGATAATTGGCAAATTCTACACTTGAATTCTTTATTAGAAGAAATGAAATAAAAGCTTTTGAATTTTGTCAGTATAGAAATCAGATCAGCAAAAGATATTATAATTGCCCATATACTTATATTAAAGTTCATACTTTTACAACAAAGAAGGAGGCTACATAAAATCATATAAAAGAGCAAAAAGTCTTGAGACACGCTAAACTATCCCCAGTGTTTATTTCTGGGAGGGTGATGGGAAGCAACTAGAGTTGGCTAAAATTTTGTTTAGAAGGTAGTAAGGAAGAACCATTTCTTTAATTCTGTCATCCATCCCCTGCAGGCTATTTCTCAATTAAAGTTGCCCTGTAGAGCTGCTTTTTTTTTTTCTTCTATGGGAAAAAAGAGACAGGGATCTACAGATAGAATCAGATAAACACAAACAGCCAACAGGGCGCTCTCTATTCCTATTTTTTTAAAAACTGAAAAATCGTCAAATTTCAGAGTTCCTTCTCATTATGCTGGTACCTTCTTTGTCTGTAGTCTTGATACTGACTGTTTTATTGTAGGACGAATAACCCATTACAGGGTATATTATATGTGTTAACTGTCTTGTTTGAAATGTTCTAAAAATTCTACCGAGATTTTCTCTTTTATATGTTATGTTTTTTTCCCCTAGTAAAAGGGAAAGGTATTTATTTAGGGAACTTATTTCCAAAAAACAGTATGGCTACATCCTTCTGGCTTTTGTAGTTTAATACTTATCCCTATTTTAGCTTTTATAATATATCTGTATGGTTCAAATACAAGGCAGAAAAAAGTCAGTTGGGATTTTTGTTTTAATGCTATCTGGATGTTAATATAGTCTTACCATAAACTTAGTTATGTGCATAATAGAATTTTGTCTTGAGAGCTACCTAGTGATATTAGTGATACATAGAAGTCCCACTTGTTTGCACATCTGCTGAGCTTTCTCATGCCATAATGTCTTATAAATGAAAATGCATATTAAAACAATATTTAGATTTGTGTTGTTTTGCTGTAGGATAGAACAAGCATTAAAAAGTTATCCCACTGTATTACTAAGATTCTGTTTATTTTTTAAATAAGTAGAATTAATAATTCAAAGTTTTGTATTCTAGAAAGAAATCAAAAGAATGTGAAGACTATCAAAGGGAATTTCAAAAGTTGTCATCTGAAATTGGAATAGCTAAATCTCGGTATGAAACATAATTGGTTGCAAATATATGAGATGCAGGTGGTGTTTATAACTCCTTCTACTTAAACAGTAATTGTATTCAGTTTCCTAGCATTTTTGTAATACTTTTTATGATTTTTGTTACATTTTTACTCTGCTTTTGCACATATAAAACATTCTGAACATAGATTTGTCTAAATTTTCTTAAACTAATAATGTCTCTATTTCCTAACCTGTTTATGTCATACTTCCTTTACCTAATCTTCATTTTATTCAGATCTATTAAGTCTCTTATAGAAAGGTCTACTTTCCTTTTAATCTTTGTAAATTTATTAAACTTTTAAAAGTTCCTTGTAATTACATGTATTTGTATTTTTATAAACATACAATATATTTCTCAGTCTCATTTTTTTACATTTCCTGTATTTTGTTTGTACTCTTACTTCATGCAGAGAAGTTCTTCCCATAAACTTCAGTTCCATTTACTGTTAAGGGACATGTAAAATGAGAGAGAAAGAGAGAGAGAGAGAGAGAGAGCACGCACGTGTATGTGTGTCTGAATTTTTCAGTTATGACATTTACTCTTTTTTTACATTTAGGTTTACTCATATAGTGACAGAAAAAGAACAATCTTTACTTGCCTACCAACAAATGTGTCAACGTTTACAGGAAGATACAGCTGAGAAAGAAGAGAAAGAAGATAACCTTAAAAAACGAACTAAGATTTTGGAAAGTGAACTGGAAACAATTAACAATCTTCTCAAGCAGCGAGAGGAAGAAGTAGTCATGCTTAAGCAAGAAAGGTAATTAGATATGACTTGTCGTACACAGAGCTACAGGTGCAGAGGTTTTTCCTAGGTTTTCTTTCTACATGTTTACTATATGCAATACTTCACAGTGAAACTAAATAATTACAGAGCATAAGCTGTTATTGTGCAGTAAAATAATGTAATTTTAAATAACAAGAAAAATACTTTGTACAGTCTCAAGCATGCTTACTCATGAGTGATCCTATTGAATTCAACAGGTCTACAATGCTTATACTTAATAGCTGTAACCATCCAAGAGTTATAAGAAACAGTAGCCCTAATCCAGATGCATAAAGCTTCAGCACCATTCAGGTCAATGGAAGTGGTTAACAACAATTTTTTAAAATCCCATTTATTTTATTGGGATAACTGAATGATTAATTTTCTCTGGATTGGCAACTATAACACAAAATACCTAGCCTTTGTTATGGACGTTGTGGTAATTAAAATGTCCAAAGTCCTTAATATATGTTATCCATTGACATTTCAACTTCCACTCAAGTTGACATGGGACAGAGGATTGTACAGTAGATGCTGCCACTGCCTATTTCTTAGCAGTGATCAAGAAGGAGGGCTCACATTGTTCCAGGCAGATGACCCCAGAAATTGAAGGAGAGCTAACACTGGTTTTCCCACAATCTAACTTTCTGTTTAGCAGCAATGGCCATCTCACTGCTCACTCACCTCCATCCCACCTTACTAATCATTCTGGATTCCCCTACTGTTGAAAGGAGTTAATGGAATTTCATATGAGTTGAAGGCTAATGTGAGATTCAGACTGGTACTTCTTATTTCATAGTATATACAACCATCACATTATATGAATTCTCAGCTACAGTACATTATGCCTCTGAAGGTAATGCACACCTATCTATCTTTTTGGGAAAAAATAGTAAATTATTATTTATTTATGGTAAAAATAATTTTCTGTGTATTTTTCTAAATATGCTATCCTATGGGAGACCTTTACTGCTTTTTTCTGGTAAGTAGTGTCATCAAACAGGCTTGCAAAGAAATATCAAACATGAATCCACTAAGTTGAGTTGTGTCACCTATGTAATGCCTTATGTTCAATTTTTTAAGATTGCAGCCCAATAATAGTAATTAAACATGTTTGGGAACAGAATTATAGCTTGCTTCTTAAGCTGTTTGTTGTGAAGACATTCCCCCAATTTGTAGCATTATGGCACATGCATGCCTAAGTGTTCCTGAGAGAATGGAGTGTCTGTTAGGCAAATGGGAGCATCACATGCAGAAACTGCCTAGTAATGGATGATTACTCATTTGTATATTCTACTGTCATTATACTGTTCTTCCAAGGAACTCTCAAGTAAAAATTGAAGATTTTTTCTTGAATCTGGGCTACAGTGTTATATACCTGGAAAGTTTTAATATTCCAGATTAGTATTCCAGCCTTTCCCAACAAAGTACTTGTTAGATGACTTGGATTACAAATCCTATCATTTCCCAGCCAGCATGGCCATAATGGGGATGAAGGCAGTAGGCTGAGGATAGCTCCTTATCTCAGATAACTCTTGATTGGAAGAATCCCCAAGGAGATCTATGCAGATATTTTTCCTTACATTTCTTTGAAGGGCAATTAGTTCTTCACATTGGAATTGGCCCATGCGGGTTGTGGTTAATTCAGTTACGTTATGTAACATTCCAGTTCTAATAAATGTAATGTGTGTTTGTGTTTCAATATATTACTTACCAAATGTCACTATCCATAATTATAATAGGCGTTAGTGAAGTTTGCCTTGGTCTCCAAGATTCTTTAATCCAAGAACATAAATAGTTTCTTAAGGTTTACATTTATTGTCATTTTTCAATAGATGTGAACCAATAATAATAGTTTTCCTCTTCCATAAGTGTTCCCAAATAGAGTTACAATGTCTTCTAATTGGAGACTGGGCAGGAGTTGATATGTACAATCAGATACGTCTCCCATATCTGCTATTTTCTAAAAGCAGTTGCAGAGACAGGAGGACAAGCAAAAGTCAAACTGCTATGCTTATCTTATCACTTGTATTCTTTTCCCAATCTAAACTGAACCCACACATATGTTGTTTCTTGTGGGGCAAATAGGTTATAATTTTGAAGCAGGAAATGTAGATTAGGAAAAGGATGCAGGGAAAACGGTTTATTTCTTCTCTTTTAGTTGAATCCCCAATCTGATTCCCTGTTTGCAACTGCTTTCACTTAAAAAGCAAAACAAAAGTTTTAACAAGTCTTGATTTTCAGTTTTCTAGTGATAGAGAAAAGGCTGAAGAAATAATTGATTCTGCAGTAATCAGTTGCTGGAAAGACTGATTTTTGCAGTTTGTCCAGCTATATTCTCTCATTTGTTGCATCCCATCAAAGATATTAATTCTGTATAATCCTGACACAGTAATATGTCAATACATGCAGTTTAAAGTTACAGATGAAATCTTAGCAGTGGGCAACAGGCCCTAGTTGACTTGAAATCCTCTTATTACAATTTAGGAAAGCTTAAAACTTACTTGTTCATGCAGGTTGTTTAATTGTTCTAATGTTTCAATTGTTTTCAAATGTATTGTTTTCATAATGTTTTCTGGTGTTTTGAATTGTATTTTTCTGTTTTAATCATGTTTCTGTAGGCTGCCTTAAGCTGCTATGGAAGGGATGACATGCTGTGTGTGTGTGTGTGTATATATATATACACACACATACACACACACACAGTGAAACCATATTTTTATGGACAATTGGATCAACTATGCAGTATTTCTGAATGTTTATTAAATGTGGCAATAAGTTATTGTGCAATTTATACCATTTATGCAATGACATACTTACTGTACACAAATGACTGCATACATACATACGTAATGATATAAATCACTTCAGATGTTGTATAATTAGGGTACCTTTTGATGCAGTATATTTGCCTGTTATTTTGGGAGGATTTCTAGATTCAAATTTGGTCCATTGCACCAAAAATCTGTAAAATGGAGGTCCATTAAACTGAGGCTTCATTCTGCAGTATGTGTCATACACACACACACACAGACACACACAGATACACACATACATGCACATACAGATACATACATACACACACACAAACATACATAGTGTATGTATGTGTATATACTGTATAGGTATATATAAAATAAAGAACACTCTTAGGCCTGGTTACTCCTATGAAGTTACTTTCTTTGCATATTAGGAGCTCTGTGTCCAATAAGAAACATTTAAAGAGACTAGATAGGAATAGATTATAACCAAGATCTGTCAGCCCAAATACTTCATTTGGGCAGCTGTAACTGGAGCTGCAATGCTTCCATATGAAGTTGCATATGTACAAGAATGGCTCTATTTATGTATGCACATGTGTGTATTTGTGTGGTATTTCATGTTGAAGGATTAACATCCTTTCTTGTGCAGAGGAACATGTTTGGGAATATCATTTTAAATCATGATATTGTATTTAAACTAATATAAGATTGGCAGTGCATCATTAGATTATGTTCTTATTGTATAGTGGTTGACATGTATACATGTTATTTCAAATTGTTTTTTTATTTGAAGCTTTCTTTTTACATATTTTTCTTATATTTTAAATTTTATTCTTATTTGCTGCCTTTGTGCTGATATTTCTACCTGCTCAGCACCTATAATAAATTGTTGACTTAATTAGAGTAACTGTTCTCAACATCTGACAGTTTTCTTTAAGTAAACAAGATCTTCCCAAACAACTTGCCAAGAAAAATGTATAGTCTCAAAATGTTCCACCTTGCATATTCATGGTGGAGAAAAGAGTTAACCCAGAGACTTCTTTTCCCACTCTTGGCCCTAGACCAGCCATTCCAACCCTTATACAAGTTATCATTCCTGATTAACATGGTCAACTCCAGTTTTGATGAGGTCTTGCACATGGCAGAGAATTTGCGTTAATTCACTACACATAATGAATGAATGAGTGATATTTACTTTTATACTACATGCTACTAGAGAAGTACCAGTGGTTAGAATGAAGGTTTCCTACACCAACAGAGAAAAATGCTATACATTGTTTAAAGGGTTTAATTAAAAAACAAAAGATGACAATGGTTAAGTTTTGCACAGAACCCTAGGAACAGCTTCTCTTTTCACTACTTCAGAAATTTAAGTATTTTACATTTATCTATTTGGAAGAGAATCTAAACAGAAGAGAGTCAGTATCAACTGTATCAATATTTTAAATATTTCTGTAATACTGTATTCGGGATCTCTTACGGAATTATTGACCCAGCAGCAGCAAAAACAAATTTAAAAGAAGCAGAATTAGAAGTTGGAAAAGAAATCCCACCTAGAACTGTTTTTATAACCTCTTTGGCTAGAATGCATCTTATTCATGATTTTTTGTCATGATTAGGGAGTCAGTACTGGTTTCCCATCAGAAGATAACAGAGCAGCTGCAGGAAACATTAAGGCAAAAAGTGCTGAATGAAAAGAACTGGCAAGAAAAGGTAATACTGGATATTCTAGTCATCACCATGCTTATTTGTTTTCTGTAACTTTGGTTTGTTGTCAAGCAAATGCATCCAGTGCTCATTTCCAAACAGCTTCTACTCTATTGTACTTTAGTATTCTTTGCTCAAAGCTAAGATAGATTCCTTCCTTCCTTCCTTCCTTCCTTCCTTCCTTCCTTCCTTCCTTCCTTCCTTCCTTCCTTCCTTCC